GATTCTATTTCTTTCACATTAAGTACTGTACTAGTAAATATGTGAAATGACAAACTCACTTTGAAGGTTGGCTTTCCTACACATCAGTATTAAGTTTAGATCAAAAGTTACCTCAAGGTGCATTTACTGTTAACATGACTCGATCAAACAGATTAGAGGAAAGAAGAGAAAAGATCGAACTAACAAAGAACTAATGAAGATGGTACAAAGGTGGGCGCCAAGATCCCTCTGGGATCTCTTGTCTTTACTTCAAAGCAATATAACTACAAAATTTTAAGAAATTCAACTGAGAAATGTTGACACAATCCTATTACCTTAAAGTGAATTTGTGTTTGTTTTCTGGTACTTTAAAAAAAAACAATCATTTGTTAGAAACATGCACCATTTTATACAGAATTCTAAGAGCTGATATCACCTTGCGCCAAAAGAATTAAAAACAAATGGGAAAAATAACCCTCCCAGAAAATGCTAATCAAATCATGTCTAGTAACCCTCATTTAAATTGTATGGGGTTGGATGAACTTTCTTTTAAGACTTTTATGATATTTTCTATTAAATGTATCAAATTTCTTTTGTTGGATGATATTTTTATCAAAACTATCAGATTTTTATGAGATTACTGTGGAATCTGATATTTTCGTGGGGCCCAAATTTGGTGGTTTCCCGACAAAACGCCATTTCTTGGGTACATGGATTTGTGGATTACGAGTACCCACTCAAATGGAGAATTGCTTTATATCAAACTTCTAAATACTTTGTAGACCTATGAACTTGTGGATGAAGATTACCCACGAAATCAATGAAATTAAAAAACCCACGAAAATTATTGATTTCACAGTAGATAAACTGTATAACATGAGAAGGTTTTAAGTTATTGAGTGTGTGAGGCCTGTTACCTTGCACCTGCTTTGACAGTTGTAGACTTGATAAAATACCTATATCTTAAAATACATTGTTCTGTTCTGTACCAGAATGTACCCGGCCATGGAGAACTTGATTGAGCCCCACCGCCTCATTGCCTGTATGACCTGTATTGTGGCTGTGGCACGACCCATGTTACACAATAGGAAGCGGTACCCAGAGGGCCGCTCCCACCTACTGCCGCTCCTTAATCTCTCCATCCCGGGGATCGACCCCAATGACTTCAAGAAATGTCTGGTATGTGGTTGAGAAAATATTAAGGAAATGATGCATCATTTGAGAGAAAAATATACATATAGTGTTTTAAGGATAATAGTTCTTTTGTATATGATGCTAATTAATATAGGTTTCCAAGATGCTTTATCCCTTTTCCACTTGTCTAGGATTAAATCTCTGGTACATAGCCTTAAAGGGTTGAAAAACTGTCAAATTGATTATAATTTTTCCCAACTGAACATGAAATCAATCCGGTTGTGTCATTGCTTTGGATGTTACTAAATCATATCTTGTACATTCCACTAGTAAAGAACTTTAGCTCTCCTTTTACAAAAATATAAATTATATTAACCGATTTTTCTTTTTAATTCAGATAACTTTCCAGATGATTTCAACATTTGTAACTTTAGTACCCATAGTCGATTGTTCCGAGGCAGTGTTTGTTAGGGACGACCTCACCGAGGTAAGTTCTGGTACTTCAAAGTCAAAATATTTGATCTTTTGATCTGTTCCATTTTAAAAAGAATGTCCAAATCTGAATGGGTTGTCAGTCGATGTTTTATCACACTATAAAATAGGATATGATTTTAATAGAACATGTGAAGAAATCATTTTAATTTTTCTGAAAATTTTAGAAAACATTTCAGTCACAGGTCAAATATAATTTTGTAAATGTTTAATTTTATTGGGACATTTTGAACATGAAAAATTACCCATGGTTCCTTGCCCTCATTATCACTGCTAATGTTCCTAACAGAAAGTTGATATTGCCTCTTTTTTAAGCAGGCTCCAAAACAGTGTCATGAAAATTAAACTAATACCCTATGTTAATTTCAGGAAGAAAAGGAGCTATGCTCAGCGACTGCTCAGTTTGAAGATTTCGTCCTTCAGTTCTTTGACAGGTAAGTTGAAAGGAAATTTTAAACATGGTAAAACCAGTCTTTTCTGATTTTTCCAAGTAAGAAAGTATTAAAGTAAATTGGTGACAGCAGATTTTGCAAGATTTGATGGACAATATGTTGGCACCTTGAAGAAAGTTTTCTGGATTCAACATCAGATTTCGGATTAAAAATGTTCCGATGTATTGATAATATTTTTTTGTCTTTAGGGTGTTCACGCTGATAGAAAACAGTGCCCAGGAGCATGTCCACAGCGACATAACTCGCCTGAACCTTGAGCAGAGCATGCTGGAGGTGGGCCTAGCATCTACGGCTGTGTCTGTTTTACAACAATGCTCCACACCTATATTCAAGGTTAGTTGATAACAGGGCGAAAGTTTCCCTGCATACAATATTGCAGAACCCTTATTCTATTACTTACGATTTACTGGTAGTGCTGCCACGCATGATTTTTGACAGAAAGATAAGTGAAAAAAACAACATTTTTAATCAACAGAGTATGTAACTGGCACACATGTAGAAAAATGCTAGAATATAAATACATCTGAAAACATGCTTTTGTAGTCAAAATATGGTAACCCCCAAAATTGTAAATATAACTGAAGTGAAAATCAGGGTAATAAAAATGTCCATTATTTTATAACTAATTATGTTTTGATACCATGCAACCTTTTTATCAAGTTTTATTGAATCTTATATTTAAACAGAAATGATGTTATTGTATGTTTAATGATTTTTGCAGTCGGCCCTGGACAGAATCCACCGGTTTGTGACAGGAAGTGTGTTTGAGAGTCGCGTGGGAGGCAGATTTGCAGGCAATCTATGTCGGGCCGTAGCCAAGGTATACAAGGAACTAGTCAGCATACTTAACTCTATCTGATGATGAAAGATTGTCGGATGATGATGATGAGGAGGATGAGGATGAGGATGATGATGATGATGATGATAAGGATAGATTGTGCAAAAGTCATTGAAACATAAAAAAATTAATCATGAAATATTTTAAAAGCTCCTGACTCACCAAGCTATAACAGTTCTGATCCGACAATAAAGGCCCTGTGTGTTGATATTTACATGAGAACTCTTTGATCACATTTTTTTTTTCGAATTCATTAGAAGGTAAAAGATTCCATTCCATTTTACCATAATCACTCGGATCCGAGATTGAAAAACTAACGTCTTCACATGGGAACTGTTCATCCTTAAGAATCACGACGAATGTTTTGTTCGTCTACATTTTACTCGTAAAGAGGTGCTGTCACGTAATGGTTTTTTTATGTGTCTATTGAAACAAGATTTGTTGACATTTACCATTTATTTTTTATTTCTAGGTGAATCCTGAATTAACTCAAAAGAAATTCCTTTCTCATATGTGCTCGAATGTGAAGAACTTGCTGGAAAATCGTAAGTGATTTGTCCTTACGCCACACGTCTGACTATTAATCTTGACCTTACATATCTTGCCCAACAGTTCCTGTAGGGAGATCTTATACTTCTTATACAACTACAACATGAGCAAGTGGTGTGTAACATTACAAAATGAGACCACTACGACCTCAATTTGATGTACCTTGGTCCCAATGCACAAATACAGGTTCTTGGTCCATATTTCAAGATTTTCATCTACCAATTTATGCAGAGATCATATTGATGTGAAAAATAAAGTTATTAATCCCTTTTGACATTGACATCACACAACTTGCTGTTTATCAGTATATTTTATTATACCTCATCTTTATAACAGCGTGTCTGATTGGATGATACTGGTCACATGACAGGGCAATAAAACATGTTGCCCTCACATGCTCAAGTTTCCCCAATCATATTTCTCTTATTTGGAGCCTACATAACCTAGTTTCAAATAACTGAAGGAGACAACAACAGCAATGCATCAACCTGATAACCTTTACCATTGGATAATAGGTGGAATGATATTTGTTCTTGCTGCTACGAAATAGCTATAGCGAGACTTAAGTGTTGCTTTTCCGGCGACGGTGTCAACATTAAGTTTTTTCGTTTATCGTAGTTTCACTGAACGTATAAGTGCTAGACCAACCAAACTTGGACCATAGATGCATCTTAGGTAGTACCTCTTCACCCATGCATGAAATGCTGGAATGCGGCCTACCTTACATGGTCCGTTGACTTTGTCAGCATCTCCATCACCATTAAGTTTTTGCATTTAAGTTAATTTCTCTGATATGTGCATTGATGGTCAAAGCGGGGCACAGGCGAGACATATCAATCTGAATGGCTTGTTTTTGTATAATAAAAAAAATGTATTGTCCTTGTAGTAGGGAAACATGATTCTTTGTTTTTCCTCAATTGAGCATGCTTGCCCTCGTGAAACATGATTAATCGCTGAGAAACAGAATATCGTTTCCATACCACAAGGGCAGTACATTTATATTATATCATTATTTAGTGTCGGTGTCATAACAGCAACATTTCAAATCAAGTGGCGTAGTGGTATCATAAAACTCCGACTCCAAGTTATATCTAGTTACCCTGATATTTCAGGAATAGCGCTTATGTATATGTTTTTTGCAGGTTTCAGCGGATAAATTTGATGGTATTAAAAACGGTTGAATTTGTATCTTATGAAAAATTCAATTTCTTTTCAGATGAGGATCTCAAAAATGAAGAACAACTTGATGATAGCTTTTTATGGAATTTAATCATGCTACCTCAGGTAAGTTTTGTCTTTTAAATGTTTTGATTTGCAGAACTTTTGCACAATTATTGAAAGCAAGATTACAGAAAATAAAATTTCACACAATCTTAATGATTGAGCAATAAGATTACCCATTAGTTACTTGCTTTATACAATGTACTTGTTAATGTGAAATTTACACTGGCATGTAATTTGCTTATTATGTGCTGATAAATTAATTTTTCATCATATGTCAAATTGCCTCCACACAATGTGTATGCGCTAGTTTAGTTTTTAAGCTTATGAAATTGCTGTTAGCAAAATCTTAAAACATGAATTTGTCAACTAAAAATATGAATTTTTTAAATTCAGTGAAATTAGATTTATAGTTTAGTATCTAATGAAGTACAAATTTAATATCCATTTGTTTTTACAGCTGGTACGTTGTGATGGTGCAGCACTCTTGCCTTACAAGGCAGAGCTACTCGAGATCATCCAGATGACCCTCCACCTTAAGTGTATCCAGGGTTACGAACTGGCAGGCCAGTTATTACGCTATCTATTGAGGGCTCTTACCCTCATCTATCCACTGGACTACAAAAGTGTGGCAGAAACCCTCGACAAGCCATTCACAGAGTGGCTGGCTATCAATGTAGGTATCAAATTGGTTGTTTTTTTCGTTCTGTTTAAGTTTTTGAAATCATTTCAGGAAGTTTGACTTCAAAGAAAATTACTTTAGACATTACAGGTGAAATTTGAGTTCTTAAAACTTTTTTTTTGTAATTTTTTAGCCTATAAAGTTCACATGATCAAAAAGTGCCATTTCTGAAACTTTCTTAATTTAAATCTTACACAAATTGAAACTGTACATTGGAGTGAAAAAATGATTTGCAGTTTAAGATGATTTGTTATCTGAAATATCTTCAATATGTATTATTTGAGATTCGTATAACATTAAGGTAGCATATCTCCTCAAGTCTACATGTTGCAGTAAGGTAGCATACACCTTTAAGTCTCCATGTCACAGTATGGTAGCATACACCAGTAAGTCTCCATGTCACAGTAAAGTAGCATATCTCCTCAAGTCTCCATGTCACAGTAAGGTAGCATACACCTTTAAGTCTCCATGTCACAGTAAGGTAGCATACAACCTTAAGTCTCCACATCACAGTATGATAGCATACATCCTTCAAGCAAAATCCAAACTTGATCAAGTTTGTATGTTTTGTGTTTGTAGGACTGGGCAATGCCCGGTGACATCGACGACCTTCAGATGAAATGGCATGTACCTAATGATGAAGAGATGAAGTTTGCCTCCGAGATTCTCCAGACCATCCTCAAGCCAGAGCTGGAGGCCATCAGGACTGTAACAGCAGACAATAAAATGAACAGGTAACGACTGGACATATCTCACACTCACAGCTTTATAAAGTGGACCAGCCATGGTCAGCCATCGGGTCTAAGAGTGTTTGTCAGCTTTTATTCAAAGTCCCTCATTGTTGAAATCACTCTTTATAACTTTACTGTTACATTTATATGTTATTTTTGCCCTGTTAAAATTGTCCCTTTCTTTTGAGGGGGCAACAAATTTGTGTGTGAAATTTTCCAATTTTTCTCATAAGGCAAGAACATTTGAAATGTAAATATGTAATTTTGTTTGTAGGGAGGAATTGCTGAGGAGGTTGAACGTTATCCTGGAGTGTTTGCTCGGCGCGGGGACTGTTCTACCAATGTGGGACGATGCTGTCGTAGAAATGTACGTGTTCACACAATTACTTGCAGAAAATATTTAAATACTGTATCTGATTGGCAACTTAAAATAAATTTTGTAATTTATAGCATAGAGAGGTTTTAATCTGAGCTTAATGATGTTTTTTGTAGAGTGGAGAGTTCTGTTTCCCTGCGGCGACAGCACTGTCAGTCAACAGGCCAACACTCGTGTAAGTATGTAAGGGATACTGCTTGATAGAAACAATCTTATTATATACCCTGGGCCAAAGGAATATACACACCCTGGGCCAAAGGAATATACCCAAGAGTATAACTGTGAAATCAGATATTTTTCATGGGCCCCAAATTTCATGGTATCCTGACAAAACATGTACACCATTTCGTGATTACATGAATTCATGGATTATGAGTTCCCACTCAAACGGAGAATAGCTTCATATCTAACTTGTAATCACTTTGTGGACCTATGAATTTGTGGATAAAGATTTACTCACGACATCAATGAAATTAAAATCCACGAAAATTAGTGATTTACAGTATACGTCATCTCTCTGACGTGTGTTTACCCATGTTGTCACACGTTTATGAACGCTTTCACCCCGCTTATCAATTTGTTTCATCAATGGTTTTGAATTAAAAGGTATTGCATATTATTTCAAACCACTGTCCTGTTCGTCTATGCAGAACATCCGGTTCGTCTGTTTTTAAATGTAATGTTTTCAGGTATAAATCCTGGTGTACCTGTAAAAGTTAATGCAGGCCCTGCAAGGCTCTGTCAAGGCTCGCCTGAAAACAACATCAGATTACTAGGTCTGACCTTATTTCATAAACGAACAACTCTGGTTCAACAGTTTGGGTCGCAATAAACGATTGGTACCATTGGTAATTTAAAGTCTCTCAGTGTCTAGAACTTTAAAGCAGGTCGGACCTCAGTTTTACTTTAGCTTATTAAATACCTTATTTTGGTGACTGATTTTAAACTGTCACATGGCCAATAGTCCTCTGAAATATTTGGTGTAAAGAATAAATCAGAACATTGATATGTTCTGTGTGATGAAGATATTGTTTATTTGAAATGAATGGATTAAAACCAGGTGTCAGAGCTATATGTAGAACCACAGGACTCTGTTCAACAAAATTAATTTTGAATTAGCCATTGATCAAGAAAAGGTGGTTTCTTCTATTGTTGAAATGAAAATATCATTTTTACCTGTAGTATTCTCTAAAACCTTCATATTTTGTGCTGAAATAACTTTTATAACACAGCTGTCTTTCAAAGCTCATTTCCTGTTTATGAGGTGTGTTTTTTATGACTTTGTTTTTACATAACAGGTATAACATTTGATGGCCAAAATGTGAGAGAGAATGTGATGGATGCTGTCCGCCCCCTCCTGTGTAAGTAAATTCCTTCAGTAAGCATGATAGCTAGTAACCCATCCTTTGGCTGATGCGGTCCACATCATAGGAATGGAAAGGGAATTAATTTTGTTGTGATAGTAGTATTTGTATTGAACTCCTTTTTGGCTCTAAACAGGACCAAAAAAAAGGGTGATATTCTCTAAAATATTCTTTTCCAATTTTAAAGACTATGGGTATCATGAATAAAATAAAATAATACAAAAAAATAATGATTTAGAAACTTGGTTTACGTATATTCATACAAAAACCCACTGTATCGATCCTGTTCCATAATCCTATAATGTGAATTTTCTTGTACAGCTCATATGCTGGCCACATGTGAAGACGACACAAAGGGATTGTTCAAGTTGATACAGGTAGGTCAGAGACTACATCTGGGGTACTTCAGTGTTTACTCAACAAGTGAGAGTACTTCTTCAAGTTCTCTCACGATATTCATATACGTCAAGGAAACTCTCTTACAAATTCTGGACAGAGATAGCCGTGAAACTGAAACAAGACAACAATGCAGTATGGTTGTTTCAAAGCAGTGTATTAACAAATGAAAAGGACTTCAGTGTGCATTTGGTTAATTTAAAAGTGTTTTACTCCAAAAATAGCTTTGTTTAAAATGTATTATGTGGTTTGCACAAACAGAAACATAATAATAAAAAAATCATCTTAAACATGTTGTTGATGAAGTTTGATTAGTGAGGCTGTTTGCTGTGAAGTAACAAGATAAATTGATTGTTTTCTATGAAAGTTTTAAAAACAGTGTTGAATTTAGAGTATATTGTTAGTTCTATTTCACACAGTATTTAACAGAATCAACATTTGAGTCTACAAATGTGTAATCTGTGTCTTTTTCCTTTCCGAACAGATATATGAAACTGTGATGTTCTTCAATGGAACCCAGAAAAATGACTTCGATAAACGATGGAAGAGTTTCCACGCCGTGAAGCAAGCGTTAGATGATCAGGTAGCGTTCTTGTTCGACAAGAAAACAGAATACACATAATAATGTTTATAAAATCAGACTTTTGTAAAAACATTGTCATTACTTTATAAGACCTTTTACTTTAGCTGACCTCATTTCGACCTGTTAAACTATTTAAATTCACAACAAAACTATAAATGTGAGAATTTTACATGATCATACTGTACACTGACATATTTTAGTGGTATTCTACGGGTAATTTTGGCACTTTACGTGCTTTTAACTCATTCACCCCTGAAATTTTATAATGAACTATTCCAACCTTTCAATTGGAAGAGTTCAAATGTGTCTTCAGGGGTGAATGAGTTTAAGTATTGTGCTAAATTATGATTGTGATAACAGAAGTTTTGTACATAATTCTCTATTGCATACCAGGTACATATATCATAAGTGGGCCAATTCATCGATGTGCTAAAATGTTAAAATTGGATGATATGCTAAAATTTGAGTCCGCTAAAACAACTTCTTTATTACAGATGAGGGCTAAGAAGCGCCATATACGAGCCATACTTGTAGACCGAGTACAACTACAGCAGGAGGTAGGTCACAGATCTTTTGTTCTGACTGTTAGACACAAATAAACCGTATCAGATTTGCAGATGTTTTAATTTTTCAGTAGTTTGCTTATACAAAGTTTCTATATAGTTTCATATTGTTTCATGAAAAGTTATCTATATCTTCAATTTAAATTTTAGAATAGTGTATCATTTTCGCTAAAAATTTGAAGAATTTTAAGAAGACATACAACATATATCGACACCAGGTTTGTGTTGCTGAAATAAGAAATTGACCTTATTGACCTTTGTTACAGCTTCGCATGTTGAACGGCTGTAGACGCCTTTTCACAGAGCGACACAAGACCATGCTTTTCGATCTCCTGAGCTTGTCTGTCAGCCGTTACAGTGATGTATGTCGCAGTATTTACTCAACACACTTATACAATTATAGCCTTTTGCTGAGGTCAATGCGTGTTTTTTTCAGGTTGATTAACTGTTCATTAGCATAATGCTAAAGGCTTGAATTTTAATTTTTATTGTTGATATTATCTTGAAGAAAATTGTGAAAAAGAACATGTAAATACAACTACCCAGTAATAGTGTTACTTTCTCAGATTGATTAAACTTTTAAGTAACTGTTATATGATGACTGTTTGAACAGTCGTTTAATACGAAAAATGTGAAAAGAAACATGATAAAATGTCCCATATATTATGTGAATTTTCTAAATGATTACAATACTGTATACAAGGAAATATTCGTCACAGTCACAAGGTTTAGATGATTCATCACAACAGCATGATAAAGTCTAAATCACAGCCTAAATAATGACCAATATATTATGTTTATCATCCTGTGTTTGCGTTTTCAGGTGAGAAAGACGGCCCAAGGCGTGCTATTTCTAGGCTTTCATAATTTACATTATTCTTACCGCTGTACAGTCCCAGCTATCGTCAAAAACCTGACAGACAGCAACACTCCGGAGCATGTGTTTAAAGTAAGTCAGCTGTTCATCATTAGGCATGTCTATAGTATTCATAGGCTTGTACATGTTATTGTTGAATGGAAAAACTGAAAAATGCTCAAAACATTTTACACTTGTAAACTTCCCACCATTGTATGGCTGGGTAGACTTGAACACTACATTCCTCCGGGAGGAAATCCAGTCGTTCATTTGTAAACTTCCTGTAATTTTATCTAATCTCAAGGCTGGGTAAACTAGAATACTTTATGCCTCATGGAAAAACACCAGCCCTGCATTCATAAACTTCCCACTATGGTATCTATTTATTTGGCTGGGTAGACTAGAATACTACATTCCTCCAGGAAGAATGCCAGTCCTTCACCTCTAGCCTTCCCATCAGTCATGTAGCTTGGTAGAATAGACTAGAATGATTTTGATCAAATGTCTCATTTAGATTAACAACAAACATGGTGCCTACAGTGATAGCCTGTTGTCTGTACTAGAATCACCTGCTCCAGGACTAAACTTTTCCTATATTTATTGTACAATGTTCTTTATGGATGGATTAACATGATTCAAATCAGGCTTCTATCAATATCTTAATGTAACAGAGGTCATTATTTTTTCAACTCCTCTGCCAGGAGTCAAACCCGGGACCTCTGGTTTATTAGTCTTACGCTCTACTGAATGAGCTAAAGAGAAATTCTCCCTAGCCAAGTTAAGTAGGAAGCGGCTAGTATTTTACCAGGGTGACATACTCCCCCTCCAAGATAGAACTTGTCCCGAGTTTTTCCAGGGGTCATAGCGATTCTTGTGAAAGTATCGCTGAGTATATTTGTCAATATTACCCTGGTCCCTACGTATGCACCAATGTAACAGAGGTCATTATTTGTTCAATGCCTCCACTAGGAGTCGAACCTGGGACCTCTGGTTTACTAGTCTTACACTCTACCCAATGAGCTAAAGAGAATTTCTCCCTAGCCAAGTCGGTAGGAAGTGGCTTGTATTTTACCAGGGGGACATTAACGATGTTTAACACATTTAAACAAGAGATGAATTGTCTGAATCAAAATGAGATATTAATTACTGTGAAATCAGATATTTTCGATGGACCCAAATTTCGTGGTTTCCCGACAAAACACTATTTCGTGGGAACATGACTTTGTAGATTACAAGTACCTACTCAAACGGAGAAATTGCTTTATATCAAACTTTGTGGAACTATAATTTCGTGGATGAAGATGACCAACGAAATCAATGAAATTGAAAACATTAATTGATTAATGAGTGATTTCACAGTTTTGGTGGAAAATAAAGCCTTATAGAATATGTTGTATCAGATGACAAAGAGGACAATTTTGTTTTAGGGGACATTGTTTACTCTGCTTGGCTCCGGCAAGAAGAACATAGCTACCAAGTGTAACTGGTCTGTATTAGGAGAAGTATGGCCAGCCATCACACAGGCACAACACTCTGAGAAACCCTCCATCCTCAAGGTCATTGACGACATCATCAACAAGGTCGTCAAGAACATGGAGAGTGTCTCCATAGTAGTCAAAGTAAGTCTCTGAGGAAACATGGAGAGTGTCTCCCTATAAGGCAAAGTAAGTCTCTGAAGAAACATGGAGAGTGTCCCAATAGTAGTCAAAGTAAGTCTCTGAGGAAACATGGAGAGTGTCTCAATAGTAGTCAAAGTAAGTCTCTGAGGAAACATGGAGAGTGTCTCCTTATAAGTCAAAGTAAGTCTCTGAGGAAACTTGTCAAAGGGAGAGTGTCTCCATAGTAGTCAAAGTAAGTCTCTGAGGAAACATGGAGAGTGTCTCCTTATAAGTCAAAGTAAGTCTCTGAGGAAACTTGTCAAAGGGAGAGTGTCTCCATAGTAGTCAAAGTAAGTCTCTGAGGAAACATGGAGAGTGTCTCCTTATAAGTCAAAGTAAGTCTCTGAGGAAACTTGTCAAAGGGAGAGTGTCTCCATAGTAGTCAAAGTAAGTCTCTGAGGAAACATGGAGAGTGTCTCCTTATAAGTCAAAGTAAGTCTCTGAGGAAACTTGTCAAAGGGAGAGTGTCTCCATAGTAGTCAAAGTAAGTCTCTGAGGAAACATGGAGAGTGTCTCCTTATAAGTCAAAGTAAGTCTCTGAGGAAACTTGTCAAAGGGAGAGTGTCTCCATAGTAGTCAAAGTAAGTCTCTGAGGAAACATGGAGAGTGTCTCCTTATAAGTCAAAGTAAGTCTCTGAGGAAACTTGTCAAAGGGAGAGTGTCTCCATAGTAGTCAAAGTAAGTCTCTGAGGAAACATGGAGAGTGTCTCCATAGTAGTCAAAGTAAGTCTCTGAGGAAACTTGTCAAAGGGAGAGTGTCTCCATAGTAGTCAAAGTAAGTCTCTGAGGAAACATGGAGAGTGTCTCCTTATAAGTCAAAGTAAGTCTCTGAGGAAACTTGTCAAAGGGAGAGTGTCTCCATAGTAGTCAAAGTAAGTCTCTGAGGAAACATGGAGAGTGTCTCCTTATAAGTCAAAGTAAGTCTCTGAGGAAACTTGTCAAAGGGAGAGTGTCTCCATAGTAGTCAAAGTAAGTCTCTGAGGAAACATGGAGAGTGTCTCCTTATAAGTCAAAGTAAGTCTCTGAGGAAACTTGTCAAAGGGAGAGTGTCTCCATAGTAGTCAAAATCGGGAGTCTCCCTCCAAAATAGGGAGAGTTAGGAAGTATGTGTGTCACTAAACTATTGACATTTGTTACAAATGAGTCGAGACATTTTCAGTCTTCCCAAACAATGATGTGTGTTAGGTTTTGCCATTTTAAGATACTTAATGATTTCTGTGCGTGTTTTAGACAACGTCGTCGGCCATCACAGCAGCACAAGCCTTGTTTGACACAGGCAAACCCCACTGTTCATTTCCTGCCATGACTAGTAAGGAATTGGAAGCTGCCCGACTCCGAGAGGAGGAAACAAGCAACAAGGACAAAGCGTGTGTATTGGTGTTCTACCATAATAATACTGTATATTTCGCCCTTCACTGGTAGAATCCATTTTTTCACGCAGTGTTAATTTCACCCTTCACTGGTAGAATCCATTTTTCGCGCAATGTCAATTTCGCCCTTCACTGGTAGAATCCATTTTTCGCGCAGTGTCAATTTCGCCCTTCACTGGTAGAATCCATATTTTGCGCAGGGTTAATTTTGCCCTTCACTGGTAGAATCCATTTTTTGCGCAGGGTTAATTTCGCCCTTCACTGGTAGAATCCATTTTTCACTCAGTGTAAATTTCGCCCAATACTGGTAGAATCCATTTTTTGCGCAGTGTTAATTTCGCCCAATACTGGTAGAATCCATTTTTTGCGCTGTGTTAATTTCGCCCAATACTGGTAGAATCCATTTTTCATGCAGTGTTAATTTCGCCCAATACTGGGAGAATCCATTTTTTGCGCAGTGTTAATTTCGCACGTTACTGGTAGAATCCAATTTTTGCGCGGTGGTAAGTTCGCCCTTCACTGGTAGAATCCATTTTTCGCGCAATGTCAATTTCGCCCTTCACTGGTAGAATCCATATTTTGCGCAGGGTTAATTTTGCCCTTCACTGGGAGAATCCATTTTTTGCGCAGGGGTAATTTCGCCCTTCACTGGTAGAATCCATTTTTTGCGCAGGGTTAATTACGCCCTTCACTGGTAGAATCCATTTTTCACTCAGTGTAAATTTCGCCCAATACTGGTAGAATCCATTTTTTGCGCAGTGTTAATTTCGCACGTTACTGGTAGAATCCATTTTTTCACACAGTGTTAATTTGGCCTGTTACTGGTAGAATCCATTTTCACGCAGTGTTGATTTCGCCCAATACTGGTAGAATCCATTTTTTGCGCAGTGTTAATTTCGCACGTTACTGGTAGAATCCATGTTTTCACACAGTGTTAATTTGGCCTGTTACTGGTAGAATCCATTTTCACGCAGTGTTGATTTCGCCCAATACTGGTAGAATCCATTTTTCACGCGGTGTCAATTTCGCCCTTCACTGGTAGAATCCATATTTTGCGCAGGGTTAATTTTGCCCTTCACTGGGAGAATCCATTTTTTGCGCAGGGGTAATTTCGCCCTTCACTGGTAGAATCCATTTTTCGCGCAATGTCAATTTCGCCCTTCACTGGTAGAATCCATTTTTCACTCAGTGTAAATTTGGCCCAATACTGGTAGAATCCATTTTTTGCGCTGTGTTAATTTCGCCCAATACTGGTAGAATCCATTTTTCACGCAGTGTCAATTTCGCCCTTCACTGGTAGAATCCATTTTTTGAAATTGGTAATACTGAAACTTTGAATTTGGTAATACTGAAAACTGCCTATTTTTGATTTTGTTAAGTCAAAATGTATGAAATCGCCAATTATTTCTAACTTAAAACAAGGCATATCATTGTAGCTTATTTTTTCCATGAACTGAATAGCTACCTACTTAGCAAAGGAATTTCTAAAGGTTTATGGTTCCTATGACAGGAGACCAGATCTAATTGATTACGTGGAACTTGTCCTTTCAGATTGTACTTAAAGCTGGTAGCTGACCTTGTGAATCTAGTAGAAAATGGAAACTTGTAAGTCTGTCTTCATTCATGTTTTAACTTGTAGTCAATGTCAAGTTACTATAATTTCTTTTTGATTTTGCTGATAAAGCCATTGCATGGAAAAAAGAAATATTATTAACAAATTGGTCAGAAGAGCTATTTTAAATTAATCACCTGAAGTTAATGAAAATGGTCCAAGTAGTATGCTTGCTCTACATTAAAAAAAGAAACTTGATTTCTATATTATTTTGTTTCTCTGAAGTTCATTCATTATTTGTTCAATTTTACATTTATTTGGTTTGTAACCTGAAGGATGTGGAAGTTCGCCCAGCTGGGTATGGAGCTGACGTGTCTCCTGCTTAGACACGACATCCTATTGCCAGCGTGTGCTGTCAGACTCTATACCAAGGGCATGATACACGACTCTCTCTACGTCAGAAAGGTAATCTTTAACCCTTAATATGAAGAGCGGGAGGGGGGAGGTGTTGAATATAAAATGATAAAAGGTTGTATCATTCTGATCAGCTTTGATTTAGTGTAGTTTCTTGTTTCTGTATGTGTTGACTAAAAGATTAGTGCACTGATGACATTGGAGTCTTTTTATTTGAGTATTTCGATAGCAGATTTGTCTGAAGTGGTACTTGCTAAACTCATGCACCCCTGAAATTCAAAGATGGACTATTCCAACCTTTGAATTGGAAGAGTTTAATTGTGTTTTCAGGGGTGAATAAGTTAAGATTCATATAACAGTGAAAATGCCATGATCAGTCATTGACAAATTAATTAATTTCACTAACAATGTTGTATTTTTAGTGCTGATTGAAATTTAGGAGTAATGCAAAATCTAACAAAATCTTATTTTCAATTTCTCAAAGACTTGGGTCATTTCTTCCAGTAATGAGTTTCAAAACCACAGCAATATGTTGTTATTTTGATTGTAAGGTTTAAAAAAAAAAAAAAAATGAGTCAAAACAGTATTTTCTTTTTTACAAAATAAAAGATAAAATAATAATTTTATTAATCAAATTTTCTCAAAATGTCCTCAATTTTTTTTCTGTTGTGCTTCATAAATTTTTATCACTCTTCACTGGTGAAGAAATCACTTTTGTTAACATAATCTTGCCCCCATTTATATAACACACAGCTGTCACTTAGCTCGATTTCTGCAGTCCTGAAACAGCAGAAGAGAAGACACAAGCCTCAGGTATTTGATCCATTCAAAGTGTCTGGTACAACAGCTCCATCTGGTGGTGACTTTCGGCCGGGAGACCGAGAGGATAATCATTGGATCTGTTACGACAATGACAAACTACCTCTTACAAAAGAACAATGGGAAAGCTCCACTTTCGTGGAGAAAACACACTGGGGCTACTACAATTGGCCGAAGTAAGCTGAAACTGCTGGTTTTTAAGAGAGGTAGCAATTAACATTGCTGTAATGCTGATACCATCAGTTAGTTTTTACTCATCTGAAATGAGGCTTTGTTATCTGATTTTTAAGCACACTATGGTTTAAGTGATCTAGAATTGGCCTTTCTCTGAACATCATGAGTGCCAAGGATAAGTCATGGCCTGGAAATGAGAATTTGAAGGTTTTTTTTAGAATCAGGTTCCAACATTGACTACAGAAGTCTACATGTGAAGCTGTTCATAGCAGACAGCTGATTGATAGGAAAATAAGGAAACATTTGATCACTTTCTAAAACTTGTTTATGCCGGAAGATTTGAACTGTCAAAAGTTGTCAGCACTTTTTTTGGATATAATTTTTGGATGTTATACAAGACGTTTTATTTATAGGCCTGAACATGATAGAGGTTCGGGACTTTTTCTTAAGTTTTACAAATATATAGAAATTAAGTTCCATTTCCATCGTCCCAGACATAAAATATGTATTACTTTCCTTTATATCACAATTCTCTTAATATCATATTTCTCTTAATATCACACTTCACTTAATATCATGTTTCTTTTAACATCACACTTCACTTAATATCATGTTTTCCACATGACATTTAAAGGAACATACTTAAAAAATTTAAATATTTGATATTTTTGGAAGTTTCTGTTAACAAAAACAAAACAAACAAAAAAGAAAGAAAAAAGCAAAATACTATAAGTGGTACTTGATTTTCTAGAACGATGAAGACCTACGCTCCTACCTCAGAACAGCCAAAACTAGAGAGAACATTGGGGGAACTGCTGAAAGAGGAAGCTCCATTGTACGAAAACTTGATGAATGCTGAGTTTGTAGAGAAGTTGATAGAATTCCTAGCATTAGAGGAACACAAAAGGAAAGACAAATTCCGTACCAAGACCATGACTTTATTTAAGGTACAATAAAAGCTCCAGTCCACAAATTGGACAGCCTGAATCTTTGTTGTTTGAAACAGGGCTTTAACAAAGATGTGATAAAGTTACATATACAGAACATTAGTATTAAATTCTGCAAATATTTTTTGCATTATATTTCTTAACAATCAAATCAAATCCAAATTTTATTTTTATATGTAGGGTTTTAATTGAAAAGTGTTCTTAAAATGAAAAAAAAAAAAATTAAATGCGATATCGAGGTCTGTAGGTATTGGGAATTAACTTTGAATAATCACCCTAGTAGTTGTTGTTTTGTAATGTAGCATATATTTCATGTGTTATTTCAGGGCTTGCATCGTAACTTTGGTGACACTTTCCTGGAACTTCTCAAGCCGAATATAGAACGTCTTATCAGTGACACTAGTCATGATAAACATGACAGCAGCCAAAGGTGTGCGATGGAGATGTTGTCAGGGATCCTACGTGGGTCAAAACACTGGCCCTTCGATAAGGTACAGTTCTAACACAGGCCCTTCGATAAGGTACAGTTCTAACACAGGCCCTTCAATAAGGTACAGTTCTAATACTGGCCCTACCATAAGGTACAGTTCTAACACAGGCCCTACCATAAGGTACAGGTCTAACACAGGCCCTATGATAAGGTACAGTTCTAACACAGGCCCTACGACAAGGTACAGTTCTAACACAGGCCCTACCATAAGGTAGAGTTCTAACACTGGCCCTATGATAAGGTACAGTTCTAACCCTGGCCCTATAATAAGGTACAGTTCTAACACAGGCCCTACCATAAGGTACAGTTCTAACACAGGCCCTACGATAAGGTACAGTTCTAACACAGGCCCTATGATAAGTTTAAGTTCTAACACAGGCCCTTCAATAAGGGACAGGTCTAACACTGGCCCTACCATAAGGTACCGTTCTAATACTGGCCTTACAATAAGGTACAGTTCTAACACTGGCCCTACAATAAGGTACAGTTCTAACACTGGCCCTGTGATAAGGTTCAGTTCGAACACTGGCCCTATGATAAGGTACAGTTCTAACCCTGGCCCTATGATAAGGTACAGTTCTAACACAGGCCCTACGACAAGGTACAGTTCTAACACAGGCCCTACCATAAGGAACAGTTCTAACACAGGACCTATGATAAGGTACAGTTCTAACACAGGCCCTTCGATAAGGTACAGTTCTAACACAGGCCCTCCAATAAGGTACAGTTCTAATACTGGCCCTACCATAAGGTACAGTTCTAACACAGGCCCTATGATAAGGTTAAGTTCTAACACAGGCCCTTCAATAAGGTACAGTTCTAACACTGGCCCTACCATAAGGTACTGTTCTAATACTGGCCCTACAATAAGGTTCAGTTCTAATACTGGCCCTACAATAAGGTACAGTTCTAACACTGGCCCTACCATAAGGTACAGTTCTAACACTGGTCCTACAATAAGGTACCGTTCTAACACTGGCCCTACCATAAGGTACAGTTCTAACACAGGCCCTACAGTTTAATTGTTCGCCTTTTTGCCCTCCGTAATGAGAGCAAATTTATCGTTATAGTGAACATTTGTAAGCAACATCATATCTATGTGAAATGTAATTAAATGTGAAGGGCCAATTTAATATTGGGATTTTACCATGTAAGGGCGAAAATTTCCCAGAATACAGCGCCTTAAGAAAGAGTATAAATATATCTCACTTTTTCCATTGGTTTCTCTAGGTTGAATCCCTGTGGAAGTGGACAACACCTCTACTGAAAAAGGCACTGAACAACATGACGGTGGAAACTCTAGAGGATTGGGGAACATTCTTCACCGTCATATCGGTAGGTCATTGATGAAAAGATCGGTTGGTTTAAAGATCCCTGTCCCACTGAGCCGTGGTTTGTTCTCTATACAGTTATCTCCTCTTCACTTCCGTTTGGATAAAACAGTAGCACAAGGACACTTCCATTGCCTAGGTAGCTCAATCTGTTAGAGCGATGGATATAACAGTAGCACCAGGACACTTCCATTGCCTAGGTAGCTCAATCTGTTAGAGCGATGGATATAACAGTAGCACCAGGACACTTCCATTGCCTAGGTAGCTCAATCTGTTAGAGCGATGGATATAACAGTAGCACCAGGACACTTCCATTGCCTAGGTAGCTCAATCTGTTAGAGCGATGGATATAACAGTAGCACCAGGACACTTCCATTGCCTAGGTAGCTCAATCTGTGAGAGCGATAGTACACCATTCTGAAGACCAGGGTTTGAATCCCGGTCTAGCCCCGCTGAAATTTCAAATTAAAAAAAAAGTTGCTGATTATGTTTCTTTCATTTCATCCTTATTATTAGCTCACCTGCCCGAAGTGCAAGTGAGCTTTTGCCTGGGCGCAGCATCTGTCGTCGCATCCGTCGACAACTTTTTCTTTAAAACCCTATCTCCTCCAAATGCCAAAGAGGATTTCAACCAAATTTAGTCTGAAGCATCAGTAGGGATGGGCAATCATTTCTTAAATAAATGAGGTTGGTTCGACCCCTGAGGGCATGGGGGCGGGGCCCTGAAGGGGAACTTAGCTATATTTGCTTTAAAATGCATCTCCTCCTAAATGCCGGAGAGGATTTCAACCAAATTAAGTCAGAAGTATCACTAGGGAAGGGCAATCATTTCTTAAATAAATGAGGTTGGTTTGACCCCTGAGGCCAGGGGGGCGGGGCCCTGAAGGAGAACTTAGCTGTATTTGCTTTAAAACGCATCTCCTCCTAAATGCCGGGGAAGATTTCAACCAAATTTGCTCTGAAACTGGTTCGACCCCTTGGGCTAGGAAGACCGGGCCCAAAAGAGGAAAATTATCTAATATTTTGCTTTAAGTCGCTAATATCCCCTTATTGCCTGCAAACATTTCTTAATTGAATGAGGTTGATTTGACCCCTGCGGTCCTAAGAAATGGTACAGCTAGATTATCATATTCTATGGTGTAGTTTTTATAAATTGTTAAAAATTGGTTTCTAGGTTTATAAAAGCTTACAGTTGAATGAAAATTAAAGTATTGTCTAATTACACCCTGTAATATGAAATATTACTTATTTCAAAATCTGTTAACATGGCAACTCAATGGAGGCCCCTGATTAGTTGAAAGTCAGATATTGTGGTCCCAGTTGGGTAAGAACATAGATCTTGTCTGGATTTGAGGAAATTTCATATAAAGATGTAATAATGCATTCAGTTGTAATGACTTAAATATAAAACCAGGTGGGCGATACAGGTTCAATGGACCTCTTGTTTATCATGAAAGTCTGCAAGTTATAGTTTTCTTTATGGAAATGGTGTATCAAAGCTATAGTCATGCTGGAAAAAAATGGTTATTATGGCAGTATTAACTGATGAAAAAGGATCTGTTTGGTTCATATATGAGTGTAACAACTGCCGTTAATACCTGTACGAGGGGTAATTTGGAATACCTGTACGAGCGGTAATTTGGAAACATTGCTTTAAGCAACTTCACTGGAACGTAAATATGCATATCAGCCATACTGTGAAATCACTAATTTTCGTGGGGTTTTAAATTTTGTAAATTTTGAAGGTACTGGTAAACCATGTGGGGACTTTGGATTGCCTAATTTATATATTCCAAATTCTGTCGATTTGTAGTAAAACTACATTATTATTTTTAGGTCACCTGAGCTTTGCTCAAGTGACCTATTCCAATCACTTTCCGTCCGTCGTCGTCCGTCGTGCGTAAACTTTTTACATTATCAACTTCTTCTCAAGAACCAGTGGATGGAATTTTTTAAAACTTGGTCAGAATCATCCTTGGTAGATGAGGCTACCAAATTGTAAAATTGGGATTCCTACCCAAACCCTAGGGGCCAGGGCGGGGCCCAAAAGGGAAAATTAACCAATATTTCAAAAATCTTCTTCTCCAGACTCAGAGGTATTACAGTCATTTTCTCTGCATGGATGGAAAGATCATCAGGGGCTTTATTTAAATTGTAAATTTCAGGACCCCCGAGCTATCCGTTCTCCCTTGGGGAGGGGGTAAAGTTTACTATAGTTTATATAGGGAAACAACACTTTTGGGTATATTTTGACAATTTTCTGTTGGAAATTATTTTTACTTGGTCAGAATCATCTTTGGTGGATGACGGTATCACATTGTAAACTTGGAATTCCTGCCCCATCCCCAGGGGTTAGAGCGGGGCCCCAAAGGGAACATTTACAAATATTTTAAAATTCTTATCCTTTGATGACATGACAAGTATTGTATTTCACTTAGTTTACATGCTGATTTCCACATCACATCTAAACAATAAAATAAAGCTACCAGTACCTATGATATAACTCAGGTGACTGCTAAGGCCCTTGGGCCTCTTGTTTATATATAGCATCGGAATTTCTGAAAGTGGTCTTGATTTTCTCTCCAAATTCACAGAATATAACAGGATTTTGCAGATTGCATGAGTGCTTATAAGCCATTCATTGATGACCATACCTGTTTATAGGATGTAAAACACAAACAAACAAACAAAAAACTATTCATTTATACAGACAATAAGCATAATGGAGTTTTGAAGAAAATACCTCAGACAATACTAATATTACAAAGAATAGCAAACTGTAAGCCTAAGGTTTATTAAAAAAAATGTATCAAAAGAAGGTATTCACATATTTTGTCTCTCACTCTTCAGTTGAGTAAGTTTTGACTGTTTACAGGAAAGCAGGGACCCCAGAAAACTACATTGGTACTTTGAACTAGTCATGGAAAACCCTCTGAGTGGAGAGGGAGGTTCCTTTGGAGACTCCAGGTATGGACAACACTTTTGTTCACATGAGGTGAAAAACATTTTCAGTATTTGAGTCCTAGACTTTAAAATGGATTTTCCCATGATTTCTTAAGTTAAATTAAGTCTGGTAAGAAATAGAAGTTTCAACGTGCAATTGTAATAAGTTTTATCTTCAAGTCAATTTTGTTTGACATTATTGTTTTGTGATAGTCGGCTGTATGGGATACAGAGTGCGCTGAGTCAGCAGGAATGGAGGGTGTCAAAGCTATTACACAGACTCCTTGACTACCTCATGCCGCACCTTTCTCACCCGTACAAAAACGTACGAGACAGAATCGGAAGGTAGGTATCACACATTTTGATGTTTTCTGTGTCTTTGTGTGACATTTGGAATTGAGATTCATGTCACAGTGAGGTAGCATATACCCTTAAGTCTCTATGTAACAGTAAGGTAGCATACATCCTTAAGTCTCCATGTCACAGTAAAGTAGCATACATCCTTAAGTCTCCATGTCACAGTAAGGTAGCATACATCCTTAAGTCTCTACATCATAGTAAGATAGCATACACCCTTAAGTCTCCATGTCACAGTAAAGTAGCATACATCCTTAAGTCTTCATGTCAAAGTAAGGTAGCAAACATCCTTAAGTCTCTATGCAGCAGTAAGGTAACATACATCTTTAAGTCTATATGCCGCAGTAAGGTAACAAACATCCTTAAGTCTCTATGCTGCAGTAAGGTAACAAACATCCTTAAGTCTCTATGCCGCAGTAAGGTAACATACATCTTTAAGTTTATATGCCGCAGTAAGGTAACATACATCCTTAAGTCTCAATATCAAAGTAAAGTAGCATACATCCTTAAGTCTCCATGTCACAGTAAAGTAGCATACATCCTTAAGTCTACATGTCACAGTAAAGTAACATACAACCTCAAGCATCCATGTCACAGTAAGATAGCATACATTTTTAATTGGGTTTCGATTTGACAACTTTTTGACGGTTTCAGTATCCTGTCCAGTATATTCTTATACGACTACCACATGAGTCCAAATAGTGTGACCTCATCACCGAAGCGCAAGGATTTTATGAAGATTATCTTGCCACAGATCGAGGGACTTAAGCACATTGTGTTGGATGAGACAGCTACAGAGGGAAATGCTAGTAAGTGCTACTGGGTTGTATTAAGTTGTATATAGTAAAAAGTAATCACTAAGTACTGTGAAGTCAGATATTTTTGTGGGACCCGAATTTCATGGTTTCCAGCCAAAATACCATTTCGTGGGTACGTTAAATTATGGATTACAAGCAACCCACACAAACAGAGAATTGCTGTATGTTAAACTTATAGTCGCTGCTTTAACCTATGAATTCGTGGATGAAGATCACCTACAAAATCGACGAAATTGTAAGCCCCAGGGAAATTAGGGATTTCACAGAAATATAAATCATATTCAAAAACGATGTTTTTTAAAAATCCTTTCATTTGTTGAATTACAGAATTTTGTATCTGATATTTAATGAAAAACTCTGCGACAAATGTTTTCCTTTTCCGTTGTCATAATTACTCAAAGATATAAAAAGGATGTTCTTGTATTTGATTAGAATCATTGAACCAGTCAAAACACCACTTTAGCTATGCAACTTACGGGATGTTTAGATTTGTAAACATTTCCACTTTAAAGGTAAGGTTTTGACTTTTTCATTTGTATTTTTCAGAGAACGGGGGCGGAGCTAATCATGTGTTAGGTAAAGGGGAGGAGCTTATGGATGTTGAGGAGAGTGAGGAGGATCAGGAGAGAAAAGCTTCTGTGAGACTTTGTAAATCTGGTGAGTTCCCATAGCGACGACACAAACAAATCTATTTCATCCTCTGTGAGACTTTGTAAATCTGGTGAGTTCCCATAGCGATGACACAAACAAATATATTTCAGCCTTTGTGAGGCTTTGGGGCCGTTCATTTATGCGGAACAACTGGTTGGACTGTTTATAGATATAACAATTTCGGGTACAAGTCCTGGGGGACCTGCAAATGTTTATGCAGGCCTTGCAAGGCTTTGTCAAGGCTCGCCTGAAAGCAGCATTAGATTTCTAGGTCCGACCTTATTTAATAAACGAACAACAGTGGTCCGACCGGTTTGACCGTTTAAACGAAAACTGCCTTTGTAAATCTGGTGAGTTCCCATAGCGACAACACAAACAAATATATTTCATCCTCTTTGAGGCATTGTAAATCCGGTGAGTGCTATCTGAAATATTTATGTTTAAAGTATCTTAACAAAACACTGATGTTTTAAGTATAATCTATTATATTTTTTACAGTGATGAAATGGGTGTTAAACAGCCTGAGTTTACTGATGAACTTCACATCTGCACCGCCAGAGTTCTTTCAACTTCTACCAATTGTAAGATTTTTATGCTGTTATACAATTTTAAACCAGTGTTTTTTTAAATTCAAAATAATAAGCCATTGTTAAGAATTTCAGTTTACTTCTTGTATAATTAATTAATCATGCTTTTCACAAACATAAAACTGAGGTTTTTAAATACCTGGTATGAATATTTGAAACAAAATATGCTTTATACACAACAAAAATGATGAAACAACAGTTTACCTGTTTATTACAATTTGAGATATTTAAATGAGGCAGATATCAAGATAAAAGAAAATACAAACTTATACTTTGGCGTATCAGGGGCTACTCACTCAACACAATAAGCTAACTATATACAATACTACAAAAACAAACGTGTACTGACGAGGTAGCCTCCTAAGCAAAGAAAGAGGCCACAAGGAAAAACAAAAAATATATTCTCAGCAATATATTTTAAGTAGGCCACACAACTCTTGAGCGATTCAAGACAGGCCAAATGTAAATATCTAGTGAAAGTTCTTGAGCGATTCAAGACAGTATACATGTAGATATCTAGAGCAAACCCTTGAGCGATTCAAGAGCTGCATATAAGATA